ATAGCCAATCATCATTCCCCCTTGTCATCAAATTGTAAACCCCTACCAATTACATCATTCAGGTTCAACATCCACTCTCTCTTTAAAGTTTTAGGGGACTTGAATCTCTTATCTCTGACCTCTTAATAAATACTCTTCTGTACCTTCACATCTTCCTCCATACTTGTGGCTAAAATCCCAATGGAACCTACTACTTGGCTCAGGATCTCCAATTTAACTAACTTGGAGGTTTGGTTTTTTTTTTCCCTCTAGCACCCAACCCATATTGCAAGAACCAAAAGGGCAAACAGCTCTTACCCATGCCTTTCAACTAGCATGGAGACTCAGTCACTCTGAACCAATATTCAGATTTGACCCATGCTACTGATTTGATTCTCTTCAAGAACTACAGGAATCATTTGTTTATGCTGGCTTGTTCCACCCATTAAGTTTGGTTCCAGAGTCTATTCACCTCTTCAACCCTTTCTTCATTCTACTTGCTTTAAATATCCATCTCTCTTTGCCTACTCAGTAAGTGTCCTTTCTCTGAGTCCTTGAGCCTGATATGCCCTCCACTGCCCCGCCAAATGGGCAAATCTCTAGTCATTAAGACACTTGTTCCTCTCCATCTACTAGAACCCTCTCTGTTTCCTTGTCTCTTTACCTTAGTAGCTCCCTGCTAAATCTTGCTGCATCTTTAAGAACTTCCGGGTTTTTGTGATCATGTCCTTCTGTCTGTCAGCTCTGTCCTGGAAGTCTCACAGGTTCTCTATGTCATCATGGCTTTGTGTCTTGTCTCTCAGTTCCCACTTGGAGCTGATAGAAACTCCTTCTGTTGAAGTTCATTTTGCAATCTTTCTTATATTCCCCCATGAACTTAATTTTTATCAAAGACCCACTCTATAACTATAAACAGCTTAACCTAAGTACAGTTCAATGGCCCAAACTGGTATACTCAATTTTCAATAATGGCAGTTAATATCATTGCATAAACAACTGATTTGAAAATCTCTTATATCCAAACTTGTTCCTTCTTTGCTATTTCTTCCTATATACACCTGTTTGTGGTGTCTCTCATATACAGATGTTTATTGTCCAAGAGATCTGCCCCTCTAACCAACAGCCTATTCTAATAATGTCAGGAAATTGCTCTATAACAGACTGTCAACAACTGACCCAGTTCTCTTCAACTCCTCTATTTACCTCTACTTATACTGAGCTTAACCCATTGCCATTTTCTCTATTTTCATATGATAATTCCTGTCCCAAATCATAAATAATAAAAGCAGGGTTTATGAAAGATAGGATTTAAAAAACTTTTTTTATTTAATCCGGTCTTAAAATGTCACCTCCATGTATATACTCATATACTAGAATGTAGCTCATGTTGGTACCTGAACTTTGCAAAATGAATCTCCTACCTTGTATAAGTTTTAAAAGACATGAACAGGTCATGGAGAGCAACTGAGACTCTTGGCACAGTGTGGCAGGACTGAAGTTTTTAAAGAGAGGCCAGGAGAGGCTATTGATGAATATGTAGCTCAGTTGCAATGAGAGTCTAAGAAAGTATGTTAAGGTCTGGGAATAAGAAAGTTCAAGAATGTTCCAAAGATATAAGAAAGTGTTTTAAGGTATGTAACTGATACAGTTTCTGTGTGGTTATTTTGGTGATGAGCAGCCAGGAACAAACTAGTGGCTTCCAACTACAAACTGATGATAACATTTAGGAATCTATACTCTCAGGGGTGGGGTGTATATATGTTTTAATAAAATGAGATAAAAACTGGCTATTAAGGTGAAAGAGCCCATGTAGATAGGATAGAATTTGTGGAGTGTCTGAGGAAAATAATGTAGATGTAGACTGTAAGGCAAAGATGTCTGATGGCATATGGGAGGGATCCAGTCCCCTGAGAGTCATGGCTCTAGCTACTTTGCTGGGTTGGTTATTTTCATAATAATGATAATAGAATTGATAATGGAATTGTGTGCTTGGTACAGTTGGCAGTGAGAAATCCCTATGATTGTAGAAAGATGAGAGGCTTTTAGCAGGTTCATAATTTGGTCAAGTTGAGTATTGACAATCTCTTTGCTATTAGTAGTTCATGATCCTTCCAGATGATGACATATGAGAGAAGAACATGAAAAACTATTTGGAGTCTTTATTAAGGTTTTGAGACTGTTCATTTGCTAATTGAGAGGCATGGGTAAGAGCAATTAGTTTGGCCTACTGGCTGTGGTTCAGGCTAGAAGTCTCTACTGACACTTAAAAAAGGGTTAATAATCAGTAAAAAAAAGGGTTCATATAAGGGGACAAGGGCTACCTCATATAGGTGGTTAGAAAGAAAAGAGAAAGAAGGGATCCAAGAGCAGGAGAAACCAGTCATCCCATATGGTGGCTCATGTCAATCTATAATCTGACATGCAGGCAGGCATACAGGCAGAGCAATTGTATACATAAATAAATAAATAAATTTTAAAGCAAACAAAAAACTAATATGGGGAAATGATACATTTAAAAAATAATTAGTGAATGTATAGCCTGTGTGGTGATATATAACTATAATTCCAGTCATCTGGGAATTACAGAGAAACCAAGTTACAAAATAAATATTATAGAAGGGGATGGTGGTACAGATTAATAGTGAATGCTTGCCAGTTGTGTGGAAGTAGGTTTAATCTATATATAAACACAGTAAAAAGACAGTGTAAACAAAATAGATATTTGTAACCTGTAATTTTTTTCCTCTGGGGACTTGTTATTGCAGTGCTGTGAATGATCAAACAATAACTTAAATATTTTGTTCTTAAAACTCAAAAATATGTAAATTTGTAAGACTATGCATCAAATGTTTAAGAAGGCTCCTTATGAAATAAAGAATGAATTAAAATGGCTTACATATGTATGGAATTCTCAAAAATTAAATTAAGAAAGTAAAATGGCATTCTTTGTAATAGTTCTTAGTCCACTGTAATTAAAAATTGTAAACTGAGAAGCAAACTACAAAAATACTTTGACAATGTTTCTAGTGAATAAAATTACAATATGTATGATATTAATTTTAATTCTGTCTAGATCTCCATTCATGTTGGTCATTAAATTTTGTCAAAAAAAAGTTAACTGTTTCTAAAAATATTTGGAGACTGAGACAACAAACATCTTTCCTGTGATTATTGAGTTATTTCCAGAGTTTCACTTGCCCTTCATTTTTTAATATTCAAGGCATTTCAAAGAGGAAGTAATGTAGTAAAAGTTCATAAGTGGCCATAAAAGTAGAGGTCACAAAAAAAATTTATTGTACTTTAGGCATAAAATGTGAGTACCAACTCATACCTGAACACCTATTTAACGTAGAATCATCTATGGTCTCTCTCCCAAGTATCTGAAAGTATAGTCCTCTAAGATAGTTTTCATCCTTGGTGCCATCACACATTATGAATTGATCTGATATAATGTAACATAAACCATGGGTAACATATAACAGGTTTTTCAGAAATACTTTTGACATTTTCTCTACCTCAGATAAAAAATTGCTGGGCACTGAATACTAATATGTATAGCTGTAGGGTTTGCTACAAATGCAGTAATGTTCTGTAAAGCTCTTGTTACTGGAGATCTCTTTTGTAGACAGTATGGCCCAGTTGTCATCTCCTAGGACAGGTTCCCTAAAACAGAAAACAAACAAACTTTCGACAGAGGCCAGCAGTGCATTCACTCTCACAATAAAATACCACCCAACTTTACTGGTTATTTGAAGTATGAATCAAAGGCAAAATCCATGGGAAATCAGTGACACTGGTTTTTCACCTAGTGTCTTTTACATCCCAGGGGTCAAACTGAACACTACACCATTGCCATTAATCCATGGTGAACCCTGTAATGTATATAGAAGGCATTTGCCACAATCAAAAGAATTGGCACCATGGTTTGCCTCACTGAGGGTGATATTAAATTCTACCTTGACATATTTTATACATGTATACAAGTGCAGAAATTCCCCTTCATAATCAACTACTAACAAGGTTTTAATGATAAAAGTGACTGGTTCTGTCATTTTTGCCATTTCAGTGAAATGATTCCTTTCAAAATGACTAGCTATGCTCATATCCAAGAGCTGTCTCAGTGCTCTTCAATGATGAGACTTTAGAGGAGGTTCCTAAGATCCCAGGGGTCTCTGTATCTGAGAACAGGTGCAGCTATGTAACAGTTGTCTGACAAGTCCTACTTGAGCCATTCTGCAGTGGCTTTCTAGGGTTTCAGAGCACTCACTGCACATCTGCAGCTCTGTGGACAGCCCACAAAGTCATTTCTCAGCAAGAAATATTATACGTTGGTGATGAAGCAGAAAAGGTTACCCCTGATGCCATCATCATGTTAAAGATTTCAAGACAAATCACACTAGGTAAATGCTTTAAAGATGATGGACAATAAATAGGAAATCAAGGAGTTGGAAGTTTTCCTGTCCTCGCCTCTCACTCCCTGTTCCAGGAACTGCTTCCAAATTTAACATTATTTATAAATGCTTGGCCAGTAACTCAGACTTATAACTAGCTAACTCTTACATTTTAATTAACCCATATTTCTATTTATGTTTTGCCACATAATTCATGACTTACTACCTCATTTTTTACACATCCTGCTTGCTCGAGAGCTGGCTGGCATCTCTCAAGACTCCCCTGACTCAACTGTTCCTCCTCCCATTAATCTCGCTGTGTCAGTCTGTCTTCCCAAATCTCTTCTTGCCCTGCTATTGGCCAATCAGTCTCTTATTAACAATGAATATAATCCAAAGCATTGAGAATTCAAAGAATTTAAATTTGTAGGGATGTAGAGCTTGCTGGGGATTGGTTCTTGCACGTAAGCATACGCCATGACTCAGAGCCAACCTCAAGAGCAAAGGCTTATGTTTTTTGCTTTCCAGAACAATTGACATCACATGACACTGATTTTTATCTCTCATAGGCACAATTCACACATCACAATATAGGAACACAGTAGAAAGAAAACTGGTCTGAAAACGTACAAGTTATTATATTCGGTGCTGTTTACCCACTTCCAAGGGTGTTGTAATGATTCTCTGTGCAAGCCAATCCAGTACTGAAATTTCCATGCATATGTCTTCAAGAAATTCTGTCATAAGACATTAAAAGCAAACACATGTGTCTTTTTGTCTCAAATGACCCTTGAGTCTCCCTGACCTAGCGCCTCCTCTCTGGATGGAAGTAGGTTATAACTGTGAGTCATACACTTTGGAGCCAGCACAATACTCAGATTTCAGTGTATGCATTTTACACTCACAACCTTCAACATTTTTATCCTTTTCAGGACCAAAAATGGCCCTCATTTTGTTTTTCTCGCTAGAATCATCCCTTAATAAGCCTGGCCTTTAAGTTATTATCAGTTGCCACATTCGGTATGCAATATCTGCCAACTTACATAAAGACTTCCATGATTATCATATATCTCAGTGGATTGTTTGGCCATGCAGGTTAACAATAAGCATGAAAGCATGTCTCTGGAAGATCTCGGGGCTCCAGTCAGAAGCAACCACATTAACAACTGCATACACTAAAATGTTACCTATGTCCTCCACAAAAGAGAACGGATAGAATCCCTCCACAAGCTTCATCTTTAACCTTCCTATCACAAAGCAATACACATTCAACAGAACAAACAACAAACCATTTCCTGATACTTTCTTACCAACTCCTCCAGAGTGTCAAATTGAGCTAGCTGGGCCTCCTGTGCCATGCAGTAGTTCTGGCTTAGTGTCCAATTTCTCTTAACGTCAGAAAAATATAAACATTTGCTTCCAAGTCCAATCCAGTCATTTGGGCAAGTGGCAAAGCATGGTGGAGGAGCCGAAGTGACTGCATTTTCCTTTTTCACTAAAATGCAGACAGTGCAATGAAATGTAACAAAGAAAAGTTTTCATGTCAATATCTTTTTAGCTACCCATGCAAATCTTTTTTGAGGCATGTGCTTGTACTATAGCTCTACTCATTTATTACTAGAAGACATATCATATCATGATGGTCCAGAACCCAGGGCTTTCCAGTGGGCCCTGAGGAAATGCTTTATTTTTCTTCTTTGTATTTTGTGTTTTGAGACAGAATCTTGCTATGTCCCCTGCTTGGGCTGAATCTCACTGTGTGAACTGTGCTTGTCTGGAGCCTTTAGTAATCCTGCTAGGTATGTCTCCTGAGTGCTGGGACTAAAGACACTATGCCCTGCCAGAAAATCATTTCTAGGCCATCAGCACCTTGGGAGTGAGAGATCTAAACTTCCTCCATTTTAAAAGCTAGATCTAAGTTTCAGTTTCTTAAACAAAGGTCTAATAATCAACAACACCCCTGACAACAAAGACAAGGGGAAGAGAGCAGAGAGTATGTATATGGCCTGAATCAGCAATACAGTATCTCAAAGCAATGACCAAAAAAGAATAGTTCCTATAATACTTGAAACAGGACATACTCAGACTTTCCCAGGTATGCCCAAATATGGAAAAAATAAGTCAAAAATATTATAATGTAACCTTAGAAATGCCATAGCTGTTCCTGGAATTTCCCTAGCTATGGTTAAAAGGTACTGTTGGTCTTTGTTCCTTCCTGGTTGTCAATTTGTACAAGTGGTAGACCCCACATGCTTGAATAAATAAATGCTCCTTGTTTTTGTCTACTATTTGAATCTGGGTCTTAATTCAGTGATTCTCAGACCCTTTAAAGAACTATTCCTGATTCCTGAAATCTGAAATCCTACAGCTTTTTTCCCATAATCCTTCACATTCTCCTTAGCTCTTGAAAAAAAAAACTCACTTGCCTGAATTTTACTATAGAGAAATGACATTGTGTAAAACATCGGCATGGCAAAATAAATCTTCTATATCAAATCTCCTATAATTCTATCACACTGAAATTAACTATACACACACACACATATTTTTGTGTGTGTGTGTGTATATATATATATATATATATATATATATATATGCTCGTTCTTATAGAGCTGCTCAGAAAGATTATCATAGACAACTCTGATAACTGATGTTAAAAAATGTGCAAAAATATGGACATTCATAAACTACTGGTGGGAGTCAAATTCATATAGCCAGCTGGAGGTTCCTCAAAGAAGTTTAAAGTGAATATACTACATGACACAGCTATAACACTCGTAAACATATGTGGAGAGAACTCACCATCCTACTACAGAGATACCTGTACATCCATAGCTATTGCTCTCCTATTTACAATAGTAAAGAAATGTACTTGCTCTTAATACCCATCAAATAAGAGATAATTAAATGTATTATACATACAAAACAGAATGTTATTCAGCCAAAAAGAAAAATGTAATTTAAGGAAAGTATGATATCAAGTTAGGACACACAAAATAAGAAAGAAAAAGATCCATGTACTCTGTCAAATGCAATTCCAGCCTGTGATAAACAGTGTGAACAGCTGTGAGTGTGGGCATGGTGTAACACATAGACAGGAGAATAAGTAAGAGTAGTGTAAGGTGACCAGGAAGAACAAGATGCAGCAAGGGGCTAGCAAGTTGTGAGAAATGTTATAAAGAGATTTTGTTTTGTAGTTTCTGTCCTACCATTGTTTTGTTTGTTTGTTTGTTTTGTTTTGTTTTGTTGTGGTTTTTTTAGTGGATAAATGCATAAAAATGTGATTGACAGTGAAAGTCTAAAACCATAACCAAAGCTCCACAACTTCAGCATAGCTCTTCTAACTGTGTGGAATGTCAATGAGATCCATAGGCTTTGGGACCTGACAGGTGTTGGAGTGGCTATGCTTGTAGAGCTGTGTGATTTGCTCATTTATGAGCCTATCACAATAGAGTGATTGTGTGCACGCATGGTGTGTGTGTGTGTGTGTGTGTGTGTGTGTGTGTGTGTGTGTGTGTGTGAGTGTAAAGCTCTGAATTTCAGAGAACAGCTTAGAAGAATAACATTTTTCAGTCATACCTTCAACATTTTTATCTTTTTCAGGACCAGAATGACGACACTTTTCTCCTGAAGAGCTTCTAAATCCTAGAAAGAAGTGATTTCATAAGAGATGTTAAATATCAGAAATGGCTCCCCCACTAATTTTTAGTACAAGGAAGTCACTGTTACCAGTTCTCACACCCTGTATACCAAAGCTTCATTGAAAAGGAAAAATACAACAGACAGTGAGGATAACTATCACGTCTTTCCATCTGACTCTTTTCAGAACTGTGTAATAGTTTAGGTTACACTGACTAAGACGTTTTTGGAAATTGTTTGTCAATGTTTAAGCCTATGTATATTCACCAACGTGGTTAAATTTTATTTTTATAAAACAATATCACAAAAAATTTATGAAAAACGGTGTGCAAAATTTTATCAGATAGTTCTGAACAGTCCACTGTCAAAAGCTTAGGAAAGGCATAAATCTAGAACTGGTATGTTCAATATTTTCAGAGTCTGGTTGAAGATATTAACTGAAACCAAGAGTCATTGGGTGTGGGGTTCTGTGCATTCTTCCAACCAAACACTCTTCATTACCCTCACTTCTTTCAGGTGCACCAGCCTTCTTGAGCTTTCTTCTTTGAGATTTCTTATCATTGTTCACTGCCTTGAATAGTTTCCCTAGGTGAACATATGTCTTCTACATCTCTGTCTAAATGTTGCTGAATGTCATCTTCCCAGGGATGCTGAGCCTGACCTTCTATGCACACTACATCCCGTGCTGTTTCATCAGTGCATCTTCCCGCTAGCTCCTAAATTCCCAGAGAAAATGAATTTCCAGTATGTTTTTTTCTAGAGCCTTTCCCACAATGCCTGGCTCACAGTGATCAGTAAGCATAACTAAAAATGTGAAGGTGTCAGAGACCAGCTTTGAAAAAAATACTAATTACCAGTGCAGGATCGGGGGATTTAAAAAGTTAGTAAAATGTATGAAAACTTGAGTGAAAATAATAAAACAGAAAACATAAGATGGCAACAGGAAGAAGTTCCAGTGAGTACTGAAATCACCCACATTTAATTTTATATCCCAATACAATAGGGGTAAGAACACACAAAAAAACTGCTTTAGCATGATACAAGGACAGCTATAGCGGTTATTTGCTTCAATATTTTGAGCTATCAAGCCATTAATCCAAAAATCATTCTGCAGTTTATGCAGTGAACCCACCCTAGACAACCGTATCTTGAAGGTGGTAACTCACAAGGTCAAACCTCCTATTTCAAAAGAAGGAGCAGAAGTATGTTTGAATTTCCTGACCATTAGTTAGAGAGGATTGAATCTACCTGCATGGAACATTTTAATGTCAAAAGGATCAAGTAAGATCACCCTAGTTCAGGGTGTATAGCCACACTTTTTTTCAACAACTTTTAGCAAGCTAAAACTCTCTGACTCTCAGGCAAGGTGGAAATAGGCTCACATTTTTGGCCCTCCACATCAATGTGATAGAATGTTGCAGAATTTGGACAATGAAGCACATACCTGACAAAGCAAACGAAAGTGCAATTACAGCTACACTGAGGACCATGATCACTGCATAGCAGCAGTAAAGCTTAGCACGAGGCTGGGTGGAGCTCTTTTTGAGACATTTTCCTTGCTGTTTTTTACCTGAAAATATAAATATCAGAATATCAACCTCAAGAACCTTTTAGGAAAAAAAAATAAGTTTACCCAGAATCAACTATATATACTCCCCTCCTTCAAATGCTCTTCACAGAAGTTCCTGGTCCATAAATGATATCCTTGACTTGCAAAACATTAGAGGAAAGGGAAACACTACTTTTTGCCATGATTTTTAAGTTATTGAATTAGGGACCAATACAAGAGCAATAAAACAGAAACAGTGGAGATCATGGTAAAAAGGAAATAACAACAGAAACCACCCATAGATGTTGTGGGACAATGATCTTTTATCCTGTTTCTTGTATTATTTTTATTAAAAAGCTGCTTAATCAGTAGCCAGGCAGGAAGCAACGGCAGGGTAATAAGGCAGGAAGTAGAGGCAGAGCAATGAGATTTCTGGGAAAAGGGAAGTTTTAGTCTGCAGTTGTGACCCTAGCCATAGAGGAAGCAACATAGCAAGATGTGAATGCCTTACCAAAAAAAGTATCAAGCCACTAGCAATTGTCAAGTACAAACAAATGTATAAATATTGTAGTTCTCACAGCACTATCAAACACACAATTATACATGTAATGGAACATGCTCACATTCAGTTGCTGGAAGAGCAGCAACAAGTGCTTTTAATCTCTGATTTACTTCCCACGCATTTTCATTAGTCTCCTAAAGATCTCAATACATTGTTGGTATAATTTCTTTTGAGAGATAGAAAAAGATACAAAATATCAGCAATAAAATATAAAACCCTTGGCAGCACATTTTTTTTTATCCTTTTATTACTTTTTCACGGACCAGGGCAGAGGAATTGCATTATACTAAATCACATTTATTTTTCTGTGTGTAGCTAAAGAAAACTCTGTCTGACACAAGTTCACTGAGATTTTTTTTTTAATTTTTTCTTGTTCAAATAGATTTAAAGTTCTAGATTTCATATTTGGCTCTGTTGTCCATTTTGAGATGTTTATTGTACAACAAATGAGGTATGAGTCATAACCATAAGAACTAACTGTCTTAGCATCATATGCAGAAGACATAACATCCTTTTTTTACCTATGAAACTTGAAAACTGAGACGGCTTTTTCATTTTCTGGCTGGCCAGACCCGAATAATCACAGAGAAGCTATATTAATTACAACATTCTTTGGGGAATGACTCAAGCATATACCTAGTCAGTTCTTATATCTTAAATTAACCCATTTCTATTAATCTATGTATCACCACAAAACTGTGAGCTATGGGTAAGTTTACAGTGTCTTTTTCCATCAGCAGCTACATGGAATCTGTCTGACTATACCTTGTTTTCTGCTCTAACTCTGCTTGGATTTCCTGCCTTGCTATATTCTGCACTGTCATAGGTCAAAGCAGATTTTTGATTAACCAAAGGTAATAATCCTACTCACAACATACAGAGAGGAATCTCACATCATCTCCCTTTTCTGTCAAAATAAAAGTTTTTAACTTTAACATAGTAAAATCACATAGAACAAGCTGGTATTAAGCAGGAATTGCAGCTATACTATTTCATCCATTTGTTTCTGGATAGAAATAAGAAAATATTTTATCATCTATTTAATCTTTGTGAGTCTAAAGTTTCATATCTAATTTATCTTTTATCATAATTAAGAAAAACTCTAACTATAACTTTTTGTCTTTAACTCTTTAAGGAGTCTGGAAAAATATAATATTACCTAAATAAATGGGAAGTGCACTGTAAGCAACTTCCAAAACTCTAGAATTGACAGTGACAGCTCACTGCCTGGACGGTCACCCAAAGTTCTTCTGTAACATTGGGGCATCCAACTTTAGTCTACAGGCCTATAGCATCTTGCAGACTTTTCCATGAAGCAGAAAATTTGAAAGACTGTTTTGCCTATATTGGCGTTTTGGCAATCACTTTCTTCTGTGTCCTGCACAATGTTTGACAGACTCTTTCATGAAGCAGGAATCCTGAGGTACTGTCTTACCTTCTTTAGGTAAGATCAACGGTCATTTTTCTGTGGGTCCTGCATGTCCAGTTCACACATCATACCATCAAGCAGTCCAAGAAAGGGGAGTTTCTTACCAAAATGGCTAACCTTGCCACATTGAAGGCAAATTCCATAGCTAGTCCTTTCAATGCCCATCATCCTTTCTGAAGTAAATTGTGTTGCTGGAAGCAGACATGTTTCTGTGTTAAGAAAACTCTAAGTTCTTAAAAGCTATTAGATGCAATATTCTGTAGATGGAGAAGGATTTTCTGTCTATGTGTTACTTTCATTGGTTAATAAAGAGACTGCCTTGGTCTTTTTGATAGGCCAGCCCTTAGGTGGGTGGAGTAGACAGAACAGAATTGTGGGAGAAAAAAAGCAGAGGCAGACAGACGCCATGGCTCTCCTCTCCAAGATGGAGGTGGTTTAGAAACTTCCCAGTAAGCCACGACCTTGTGGTGATATACAGATTATTAAAAATGAGTTAATTAATATGCGAGAGTTAGCTAATAAGGGGATGAAGACAATGGGCCAGACAGTGTTTAAATGAATACAGTTTCCATATAATTATTTCGGGTAAAGCTAGCTGGGCAAGTGGCAGGATGCATCCCACAGTTCCTTCTACATTCTGTAGTACTTTGAAGGGTTGAAGATTATCTATCTAACTGAAATATATCTCTTTATATCTAGAAAACATAACTAACATGAATGACTACAAGTTTGACTTCTATAACGACTACCTATTAATCTACATTTTATTTTTAAATGAGCAGCACAAACACAATGCTTTAAACAAGAGTAAAAATACATATACACAGTGTAAAAAAGTCAACCGTAAATTTCTATCAGTAGACCAAAGTCCATATCAATGCAAAGTATTCATCTCTATATCATATCTCTCTTTAAATGAGACAAACATTTATATACAACCATTTTGGGAACATGGGTGATGTGGAATTCCCCTCTGTATGCTGTGAATACCATTTGTTAATAAAGTACTGCTTTAGACCTATAGCAGGGCAGAACTTAAATAGTTAGATGGAGAAAACTAAACTGAATGCTGGGAAAAAGGAAGCAGAGGAGAGAGAAGCCATTGAGCTACCACCAGAGACAGACATGCCAGAACCTTGCCAGTAGGCCATGGCCCTCATGGTAAAATATAAGATAAAGGAAATGGGTTAAGTTAAGATATAAAAACCAGCCAATAAAAAATTAGAGCTAATAGACCAAGCAGGTAACTGTTTTATTGACTTAAGGCTCATGTGTGAACCACCATCACCACCAAATCCCAAATAGCAACAAAATCCGACCCAGTCCATTTACATTTTACTTGGAGAAGCTGACCACAGGGCACTGGTTTTCTGTTGAGAAATTCCGACTACCTCCTCTGTTTTTGCTCACTCTCTTACCCACAGGTTTCCTGTAAGGTTTCCCTGACATGTTTGAAAATTTGTTTTTGAATTCAGGTTTAAAATACATACTCTTAATTATTTAAAGCTCATGCCGCAATCAATCATGTTCTGGAATCCCTTCTTCTCTAGCTACTGTTTTCATAGTTGACACACAGCTGTGAAACTCACTGTGCCTGAATCTCAAATGCATGATTTCTGCAGGGGTCCAGCTACATGATATTCTTGGAAAGCAAATGTGTAAGAGCTGAAAAAGCAAAGATGCCATAGGCTGGGTACAGAGGAAAGGAGTGTCTACAGAAGGCCACAGGGGTAATGGGGTAGGGTCTGGGTCTATAATGTGACTATGATGAAGGCTTCATTGTTACATATGTTCTAAAAGTTCGTGAACATGACATAAATTCAATGGTGTGATTAAGGGGGAATTTTTTATGGTAGACATAAAGAAGAGTACAGACAGAGGCATCTGCAAGAGTCTCTGATGATGGAGGAGAGGAAGGAAGTGGGAAGCTACAGAGGAAGAGAAAGGAAGTTGTGTGAGACCAGGAGAGAAGGAGATAAAAGTGAAGATCAAAAGAAGGACTGAGAGGGGTAAGAAAAAGCGTGGCAGGACCATAGAGCACCAAGAAGGTGGAGCAGGGAAGCCTAAGATAGGGAGAAGTTTAGGGTAGCTGGCAGATTGAAAAGAGCTGAGAAGGGTCACAGGTACTGAATAAGCCTGGAGGCCAGCATGTGCTTTGGAATGCTAAGGCACCAGTGGTTGTCTTTTGTGTTTTCTACCTGATAACCCCTACTGCTTTCTTTCCTTACTTCATGTTTTGTTCTTTTTCTTTTGTTGTTGTTTTGTTTTGTTTTGATTTTTTAAATTAAACTCTAAAAGTTTATTATGGAAAATATCAGATCCATCCAAAAATTGAAAAATAGTAAGATAAATCTACAACTTGTGCTTTGTTGTTTCAAATAACTGTGGGGTATGTTTGTGGGAATCTACAGGGAGACCGAAAATATTTTCAGTTACGGGAACATTTGATCTAGCTGAAAAACATCTACATTTTTATTATCTTGTTTTTTTGGCAAGTATAAATACTGTTTTTCAGAAAATCCAATATTCTTTCACTAAATCACACAAGCAAAGAAAGAAAAATAAAAGCAACAGAAGAGTGAAGAAATAAATAAAAATAAGAATGTAGTGGACAGTTTTCAAACACAGAAGACAGTTGTTTTTCCCTAAAGACTGAAACAGAAATCACACAGGATTCTTCATTTTCATAACTTTCCACAAAGTGAAAATGCCAGAGCATTTGCTGGTGTGTGTGTAGGGGGGGTGTGGATAAATTGTTGCAGGGGAGGAGGAGGCCACTCACCCTCCCACTGCAGCTCTCTCCTCTGTAACTTTCCTATGAATCACAGTGCATCAACAAACCCTAGGTCCTGGACCCACAGGGAACTTAGTTTCCTTCCCTCTGAGACATAAAATGTCTGGTCTATAGCAAGTTCCTGTAACTCACAGGAGTGCAAATTACCAGATCAAGAGTGGACTAGAAAGCACACACACACACACACACACACACACACACACGCACCCCAAAATCAACAACACAACAAACAAATAACAAATGTATAATGAAAAATCAAAAAAAAAACAACTCCCCCTTAACCAAATCAAACAAAAACTATGTCTCAGGCTATTATAATTAACTTACTATTTTTTTTCTTGACTTGTTGAATACTATATACCCTGATAGAGTAACTAATATACCAGAGGCTTCCAATCATTTCACTTCTACAGAGTCCCACCAAGGCAGGCTTAACAGCCAGGAGGTTCACTTCCTCTGTGAGACCCCCATGAGGCTCCTCTCTTCCTTTTCAGCTTGCTTTAAATTGTATTAAATACATACCTATGTCTCCCTCTCGTAGGTGGTCTGGGGTAGATGTTTCTGTCTTTAGCATGTTCATGGGAGTCTCTTCAGCCTCTATAGCAGGCATCTCTGAACTGAGAGGAAAAATCTTTCCTGAACTAAGAAGGAGGGATGAAACCTGAAACCTGGAGAGGGAGACAAAGCTTTGATTTCTGTGTTTCCTAATAAGCACTTTGCAAGTACAACCCACTGTCCCTGTGACTCATTAGCCACTCCTCACCAGTTCTGAGCACATCACCTCTCAGCAGATAACGTTTTGTTCCTGGAGGAAACAGAATTACAAAGTAGGACGCTGTAAAGTGTAATTAAGTGGACTATACACAGAAAATATTCCAGACTCATCACTACTTCTTTAAAAAAAAAAGTATTACTTTGATGAAAGTCACTGCTATTAAGTGGGGAAAGTGTTGCTTGCTTGATTGATTGGTTGGCTGGTTGGTTGGTTGGTTGATTGACTGATTGAGTGAATCAGTGTCTCACTAGGTAACTCTGACTAGCCTCAGACCCATATTGACCCACATTGGGCCTGGATTTCTCCTCCTATGTCAGTTTAAAGGTCAGTAATGCTCTAAGGCCTGAAATTCCAGTTTATATAGGTGAAGGCAGATAAGACCCTGATAAGAAGGAAAAGAGGAAAACAATTAAAGAAATTTCTGGAGTCAGAGGTACCTGAGGCCACTAGAGATGCAAAATCTCTGCACGAAGAGTAAAAAAGACGGACCTCCCTGAAGTTAGCTAGAAGCTTCACCAGCTGCATGGGATGTTTTCTGCCCAGGCTGTGATGAAGGCGTGTCTTTCTTTACCTTTTCCTCTGTGTGACTTATGGCACAAACCAATGATACTGCGGTTGCCAAGCAAGTCTAAATTCTGGAGTTAGGGAACAGACACCAGAAATAATGCCTCCATTTATCTGTATACAAACATCTTCAAAGGTGCAGTCAAACATAAATCACAAACACTTTGGGAAAGCACCAAGACTCAAATCTCTTTCCCTCCCACTATGTCAACCCATAAGGTTCCTCACTATTTAAAATCTGAGCATAGTTTGCTAAAGACTCTGCTGCAGTGGATTGGAAAGAATAATGTCTAATGTCCCAACCATCACCCAGGAACCTTGTAAACATGCAGATCCATACTGACGACACTTAGTAATAAACTCCAGGTGACTTCTGAATTACTAAAAGGCCTTTCCGGAAAAACTCCTTCATGAGGAAACAGATAGAGCCGTTCACATTCCTTGATAAAAGGGTCAATTCCTAGAGTTCTTAAGTTAGGTAAACAGTTAAAAATGTACGTATTCAGACGTCATACAGGATGTACTCTTACCTCAATCAGCTGTTGACCCCATTTCCTGTTCCCTGCTAACTGTCTCGTTTTAAAGAAAGGGCAAGTGCCACCATTTCCCCTCCTAAGACTTTGTTATGCCCTTACCCTTTTATTCCTGTCCTGGTCAGTGGTTGATGATATATTTTGATTAAAACAGCAGGCATTTCCATGTTCAATGACCTCCTTCCTGTGACAGGGTCAAAATCTTACCTTACAATCAAAAGACAGCCTGAAGTCAGAAGGAGGAAAGAAACATGATAGGAAGAATAAGTGTTCACTCAATGAAAAGCATACAGACCCAGTCCTGAGCCTCTGCCTTCCCAAGATAGGGGGGACTTCAAGTTATCAACTTACCGCCAGACTCTAAGAGTCTCAGGAAAGAGGCAGGGAATGAGATGGGGAGGAGGATTTGTGGCCATAGAGAAGAGACCTGAAGCAGATTTAATAACTTTGTATCTTAGTATTCTAACACTATGAAGAAACACCACGAACACAGGATCTCTTACAAAGGATAGCATTTAATTGGACTTTGCTTACAATTTCAGATGTTTAGTCCATTGTCCTCATGGTGGGGAGCATAGTGGCATGGGCGTAGACATGGTGTTACAGAAGCTGAGAGTTCTAAATCCAAATCTGCAGACAGCATGAAGAGACAGAAGAGAGTGAAAGGAAGTCACTAGGTCTGCCTTGGACTTCTGAAACCCCAAAGACCACCCCCAGGGAAATACTTCCTCCAGCAACACAACACCTCACCCTTTCAAGTAGCTCCACTCCCTAAGGACCAAGTATTCAAATATATGAGCCTATGAGGGCCATTTCTATTCAAACCAACAGGAATCTACCTGACTCTATTTTAAAGGCAGGATCCATTATGTTGTATCTTAAAGATAGGTTTCTGTTCATTGGGAGAGTAGAGTATCTCTGCTTCCTGGAACATGACCTTCCCAAACTCATAACCTGGAATTGTTTTTGAGAATATCCTGAACCTCCCTGTCCCTCTCTGAGTCTCCCTAACCTCCCATTATCCCTCCTAACCACATTGGGAGGTGATCACACTATGTCTTTTTTTTCCTTTTTAAATTTTTTTAAATTTTTTTAAAAACAATCATTTCTCATTTTTATATACCAATCTCAGTTCCCACTCCCTCCCCTCTTCGCACTTGCTCCGCCTTCTTCTCTCTCCCCATCCACTTCTCAGAGAGGGTAAGGCCTCCCATGAAAAGTCAGCAACTTCTAGCACATCCCTTAGAGGCAGGACAAAGGCCCTCCCTATTATATCTAGGCTGAGCAAGGAATCCCTCCAAAGTGAATGGGCTCCAAAAAGTCAGTTCATGCTTTTTTAAGTATTTTTTTATTTCCTTCTTGCCCCATTGTATCAATTCTGTAAAAGTACTAATGATTTTATTCCTTAAAAGGGGTCCAAGAGGTGGATTTGTGTTGTTTTTTCTTTCTTTCTCTCTCTCTCTCTCTCTCTCGTAACCCAATAAAAATTGAACTTGCTTCATATTTGGTTCAAATTGTGGAGGTGGTATCTTATTTTCACCATTGGGATAAACACCAGCACACCTTGTTACAGATATCTTTAAAGCCCAAGGAATTTTTTTATCTTATAATGTGAGTTACCTGTGCGTGGTTCTGGAGACAGGAAGAAGCAGACTCTGTGGTTTGGAAAGCCAGGAAAGTGTGGGAAGAAACCTCCATAAGGTGGAAGGAGTCTCTGATGGAAGTACGATAGACCAGGAGAAATTATGAGCTGTTCTGGGCTGTTCAATCCTGCCTGTGCTAGAGTTGAAGGAGGACACAGGGATTTCACTTCAAGAGCAGATGGAAAGTATCCAAGCATTGAGGAGATCAAGGCAGGAAGAGAGCTAGTGAGGACTCAGCTTCAGGTCCATAAAGACATTTTCTTTCAAAAAATTAATTAGTTAAAGGTTAAATAAACAGAGCTGGACATGATAGTTCACACCCACAATCACAGCACTTCAGAGACTAAGAAACGAGGATTGCTTTGAGTTTGTCACAGATTGAGCTATGGAGAATGATCTATCTAAGGAAATCAAAATTAATTAATTAGGAACTTGTAGACCAGAGCTAATTGGATGAGATTTCCTGGGAGCGGTTTACAGGTGAGCTTAGGGGTTCCTAGGGTCAGGACTTCATGTGTCTAACCACCTAAATCCACATCAACAATCATTTCACTGATGGTCAGAGCAGAATTTATTCCCCATTACAAGTGCTTGGGTTAGAAATGAAACAAACACATAGAATACTGATTTTTTTTTTCCTTCTTACGTTGCTTAAAAGAAGTAACAAGTTTAGAATGCTTGAAGTATACCACATACATTTTGTACACATGGTCATTTTTTAATTTGTTGTGACTGCTAGGATGAAGGGATTGTGCTGGCCTGCCTGTCATCTGGCAGAATGTACACAGGCTGTACCCTCACTAGCACAGGGTCCTAGTAGGGACACAGTTGCAAAGGTTTCTTTAAGAGACAAGTCCTGCCCACCCCAGACCTTTCTCTTCCCAGCAAGTCTTGACCTCTCTCTCTCTCTCTCAGCTTCTCTCTCTTCTCCTCCACCCCTCTGTCTCTGTGTCTCTCCCTTTGTTCCCTCCCACTTCCTTCCTAATACTCTCTTCTCATGAAATTCCACACTCAAGCTCTCTCTGCATGGAGTATTCTGTCGCATGCTGTGGTTCACATCTGTGGTGGGACCTGTCAGGTGCGACTCATGCTGTATCTTAATAGTGACTGTCTATAAGGAATGCAACTTGAAAAACTGAGCCTGCCAGAGAGTGCTCTGCCACATCTTGAACCAGAAGCCTGTTCATCTTATTGCAAACACCACTGTAGTCTCCATGGAGCACTTGTTAAGTTGGGACCGTAGCCCCCAGCCCCTGACATCCATCCCAGGCCCCCTGGCCTGGGAGTTGTATTGGTCTGGACTCCAAATCCCAGGATATTTAAGTGAGCACCCAGAGGAGAAACACGTGGTTTTGGGTTTGCATGGGCTCCCTGCTGTCCTGTCTCCCTGCCATGCACTCAGCATCCTAGCTTACTAAAATGGTGGGCATTTTGATTTGGTTTGATTTGACCTAATTGGATTTCTAGTTCTGGCAGAGCCGCCCTTTTCTTTTTAATCTTTACTTTTCAGCACTCTTGTCTCCATCTAGGACTGATTAACAAACACACTTTAAACATTTAAAAATGTTCTCCAAGTTCCCAAAATAAGTAATTGGGAAAGCTTGGATTCAATTTCATAGAAAACAAGCACAGAAGTATAGACGCTACGCTCTGCTAGCATCTTCTCCTGCCTGGACAGACCGAGTCTATTCTAGTCAAAAGTATGTGTGGCTTTGACTGGACATAAAAAACAATTACATGAGTCAAAGTACTGAAACGCAAACATTAGTAAATATGATGTCAACTATTTAATCAAGAAAAATTAAAGAAATATGAACCTCATAGATGAGAGGAGGGATTTATTATCAGTCATGGTAAAGTCAGAATTTCTTTTGTTAATTTTTTTCTCTCTGTTTCCATACAAGTGACAGATGAAAGGTTTGGGACAATTCATTCTGGCTCACAGATAACAGAATATAGTCCTTCATGGTGTGGGAACCTTAGCAGAAACACTGTACCAGCCTGTGGTGATAGGACTGTACAGAAACTGCTTATTGACTGACACCAGTCAGGAATGCAGAGAGAGGAACCTCATGTTGGAAGATGAACCTCATTCCCCACCTGCAACAATCAGTACTAGAAGCCACACCCAAAAGTATCAAAACTCTCTAGATAGCAGCATAAGATGGAGACATAGTATTTCTTCACATTAGCCTGGAGGGGACATTTCATCTTTAAGGAGAACCAAAGT